AGATAACTGATTTAAAAATATATCAGCCTATAATAATACCTTATATTAGCTTTGTACTTTGAAAAGTTCAAAGCGTTTTCTTGTTTATTGTCTTATTTGAACTTTACAACTCCGTAATACAGGCACAGCACACAGCAGGTATTATAACCTACTGCCACTTAAAAGACGGCCAAATTGAGGCACAAACATATCAAGAAAACTCGGGTCACAGGCTCAGTTTTCTAGTATCACTACTAGAATTAGAACACTAGGATTTTGAAACATAAGCCTGTGTTTTCTTGGCAGAAAGTGTCTCTGCTACTGCTTGATGTACGAGTTCATGTGGAGATTTGTGGCTACATTTTAATTGGAGAATACAAATCAGTTATGCCCAAAGAGCTCTACAGAAAGGAGATTGTCTCCTGTAGATCATGACTGTGTTAAAAACCAGAGGTGGAGAACGGAGTCACTTGTTTCGGACAATGTAAATTAAAAACAAGCAAAAACACTTTGTAATCTGCTTTCTGGATATTTTGGGGCAAGGCATTCATTAAATCGTGTATTCATTTCTTTGAAAAGTATCTATGGAGTGCCTTTATAGAGACTGCTCAGCACTATGGCAAGATACAAAGAAATGCATTTATTTATTTATTTTGGAGGGAGTTGCTTTGAATTATACAGATAATCACTACTTTATTCCTTGTTTATCACCACCTGGTAGATGAAATGACAAGCATCTCCTCCCCCCTATAGAAAAGGAAGATAAATACACACAGATGAAGGAAAGAGGCCAAGTGCCTTCCTTCCATTTTCTCCCTATAGGAGGCTTCTTCTATTTTTTTTTTTTTTAATCAAGGAGATAAACAGTCCTGCCAGGTACATAAAGCACCATGTTTGGCTGTGTCACCGAACCGAATACAGACTGACCCCAAAGCTTCCTACGGACCATGGAGGTCGGGCTCTTTACTGCCAGCTTTCCTCTGAGGAAAACTGGATCAGGATTTCAGCAACATGTTAGTGTCCAGCCCAAAGCTTTCGGTATCCAAAAGGTATCTCGGAAAGCCGGAAGTAAGTCTCAATGACTCCTTCCCTTGGCTGACTCCAAAATAACTACCTCTTGGAAAGCACACGGTGGGGTGGAGACCGAAGGAAACCAAGGCATTGATGGAAGCCAGCAAACAGCCGGCAGAGCAGGTGAAGGCCTTAGGGAGAGAATTAAATAAGAGTTTGTTCACGGGTTTTATAGGAGTTTTTTTTTTTTTTTAAGTCACCTTCTTTTTAAAATATTTCCCTGAAGACTGGAGATGTGGTGCAGCTAGCTAAATTGTCTCTTGCAATGATAGTATCCCATCCCAGGGCACTGGTTGGAGTCTCTGCTGCTTCACTTCCGATCCAGCTCCCTGCTAATGCACCTGAGAAAGCAGCGGAGAATGGCCCAAACACTAGGACTCTTGCAAGCCACGTGAGAGATGCAATCAGAGCAGTTAGAACAACATCCAGGGTCCATATGGGATGCCAGTGCCTCAGGATGATTAGCGCGCTGTGCCACTGTGCAGGCCCCAATACAAAAGATTTACTCTTAATCCACCTTATTTTTACTGGAAAGTCAGATATACAGAGAGGAGGAGAGACAGAGAGGAAGATCTTCTGTCTGCTGATTCACTCCCCAAGTGCCTAGAACTAAGCCGATCCAAAGCCAGGAGCAAGGAACTTTTGGGTCTCCCACATACATGCAGGGTCCCAAGGCTTTGGGCTATCCTTGACTGCTTTCCCAGGCCACAAGGAGGGAGCTGGATGGGAAATGGAGCAGCCAGGAGACAAACTGGTAACTATATGGGATCCAACTACTAAGCCATCACATGGGACTCCCATATCAGGAACTTTTAATCTAACTTCCTCATTTTACAAAATAGGGGCTAAAGACCAGAGAAGGTAACTTGCTCAAAATCACACCATTAATTAAAAAGGACTGTACAAAGAAAATCAATAATAGAATATTTTCTAAAGTTTCTAAAGTTTTCTCTATTCATATTTTGAGACTGGACTTATGAGCTAAAACGTCAGTTATTCAGCATTTAAATTGAGAAATATTTTTTAAAATTTAAGGTTATAATGTACCTGTGAACACATCACATTTTTAATATTCTACATGAGAGCTTGATGTGATTTAAAAAAATATATTTATTATTGTTTTCTGATACAGTTCCATAGGCTCTTGGATTTCCTGTTTCCTCCACATGTTCCCTCTGCCCTCCACTGATTTCCCCTCTATATTACAATGAACAGTCATAAATCCTTGACCTGAGTTTAATCAAACGGCACTTGAGCCTCAGAATTGTCACTGAACTATGATAGCATTCTGTCATCATTTTAACTATTTCAGATTTTTGTTTCCTGGTCAATAAATTGGTGATTTTTATAACATGAATATATAATGACATATGTCAATATGCTAATATTGGCATTACTGAAATTTTGTATTTACAGGTTTTGGTAGAATTTGAATCCACTTGCCCAGTTACTTTTACATTCTTTTCACTCACACATGAAATACTAAAAGCCTTTCTTCATATAGTTATCATCTTAGTTCAAGGATTGAACATGAAATATTAGCAGCTATTACAAATGAGTTTCAAGGCACATGGTCTTCTTTTCATCATTGAAGTCCGGGGCTCTTTAAAATCACTGCTTCGTAGCATCTCATTGACTCACACTAAAAATCAGAGCTTCAGTCGATCACCCAATTAATTTTAACCTTGACCTCCCACAGCTGCACTGCCTCTAACCGTCACACACACACACACACACACACACACACACACACACACACACACACACACACACACCACAAACCCTCGCTGATTCCACCCTTTCTGCTTCTCACGAAGCAACAGTGGAAAGCAAAAACAAATCCCATTCCTTTAAGAAAGATTCCGCCTCCTCTCCTAAGCCAGCGCCCAAGGGTAATTGTGGAGTCTACTAAAGTCACACACTTTACTAGCCGGCCGCGGGAGAAGCTGCCGCCGCCGCCGTAGGCTGCAGTGGGTTCCTGTGCAGCACTGCAGAATCCACACCTCGGGACCAGGAGACGCGGCCGCGTCCACCACCCTGGACTCCAGGAAGCCGTGCCTCGTCAGCGGGTGAGCAGATCTTGTATCCATTTTGTCCAGAAGCTGTGGGAGAGGGTGCAGTCATGCAAAAGGCTGCTTACGAGACACGCTTAAAATGGACTGTGTGCCTTTGCCTTGCATGCGGGGGTCTGCATTTGTCACTGGCAAATGCCCTGGACAGTGGAGACTATTCGCTCATGTGTGCCCTCCGCATACTTTTTTTTTCGCGATTCATAAAAAGAGGAACCTCGATGCATGCAAAGCTTTTTTCCCCTAAATGCAAGAGAACACCCAGCCACTCCCAATATCGCTCTCAAATACTGCAGATATTTAAAAATGCCAAATAAAAGGAGAGGCTAAGCATTTAATAAATATGATTTCTTCCCCTCCATCCCCCAAGGCTGGGAAGCCATCCCTAGGGTTCTTAAGGGATATTTAAACACCATAAAGGCATGGCGAGATTTTAAGCAAATGGGAGATTGGTGGCAGACTAAAATTTCTACAGCCCTAGCCCAGGGGCGCGAGAGAAAGCTAGGATAAAAATGAATCCCAGCTCGTGCCAAGACGAAATTCATTTTCCACACTTCGTATGTGGGAAGAGGAAACTATATTTTAATTAACACATTTTTTGGTTGTTGTTTTAGGGAGGAGGGAAGGGATGAAGAAGAGGGGGAAGGCGAGAGGTATTTGGGGGGGAAGAATGTGCGGGTGAGGAAGGAAGTGGAGTGTCGCCAGTGCCTTGGGAGCCACGGAGATAAGGGTGGAGAATGAAGTTTGTGGTGTGTGCTAGGGTGGGGTCGACCCCAAGGGGCATGAATCACGGGAATGGCGCTCGGAGGGGTGTGCTCGCGGGCGAACTCGTGCCCGTGGACGACGTGTGTGCGGGAGGACTGTGCAAGTCGTGGGTGGCACGGAGAAGCGTGCGCCGCCGGGAGGTCTATTTCGAGAACAGGTTTGGGGGGGTGACAAACGCGTCAGGGCGGTGCGGGGCTGTGGGTGGGGGGGCCGGCCCAGTGTCACCTGTGGATGCAGCCGCATTCCTGCAAACCGTGCCTCGCAAAGTTTGCCGGGCCCCAGATTCATTCCGAAGACTCCTCACCTCCCCAGAGGTCAGCGCTCAAAAGGTTACGCGGTGAGGGGCCAGAGGGTGACCGGGAAGATTCCCGACCGGGAACTGAGAGAGCCCCCGGCCCTCCGCTCGGTGGAGGTGAGCCCCCAAAGGCAACAGTGCTGCGAGGGGAAGCCAGGCCCCTCCAATGGGGGGCGTGCAGAGGCTGAAGCTCGGCAGTGGCCTCGCCCAGGAGCCCCGTGTGGGCGGCCGAGGCGCCTTCGGAAAGCTGCGACTGGGCTTCGGGGGTGAGGGGCTGAGGAGTGGGGAATTCGAGCACGTTCGGGCGGGAGACATTTCCGAGGCGGGCCCCCTCCCGCTCGCGGTCGGGTTTCCGTCGGGGTCGTTTCCCCCTCCGGCCCTCAGGGGACGCCGCAGCTCCGAGCTGCAGAGCCGGAGGAGGACGTTGAGGAGGCGCCAGGCAGCCGCCCCAGCACAGGCCCTTCCCGGGCTGCCTGCCGGGTCTGGAGGGCCCCCCGCGCCCGGGGCTCCGCGGACGTAAGAGTTTGCGGCCGAGATGGGGGCTCTAGGGGGCGGGGCCAGGGGGCGCGAGAGGCGGGGCCGAGGCGCGCGAGGGGCCGTACCGCGAGGAGGCGGGGCCAGGACGCGAGGGGCGGGGCTGGGCGCTGGCGGGGGGCTTGGAGGCGGGGCTTGGGGCGGAGCCAAGGGACGCTCCAGGGGAAGCTCGGCCAGTCCCGCCGGAGCTCGAGCCGCCAACCCGTAACGGTCGCCAGGCCGAGGGGCGGGAGGGGGGTGGGAAGGAGTGGGGTTTAAATGGTCCGTTTTTAAAGCCGCGAGCCAAAAGCTCGGGGCGTCGGCGACCCAGGTGTCGCAGCTTCCTGCTGCCCGCGGCTCGGCGTCCAGGTCCCTCCCTCCTCACGCCCCCTCCGCTCGGAGGGCTGCGGCGCTTAAGAAGCGGCAGCGGCGGAGCGGGCGAGCGCTTGCAGCCCCGGCGGCTGCGGAGGAAGCGGGAGGGCCGCACAAAGCCAGCCGGGCGCTGCGAGGTAATCCTGAGGGGGGACGGGAGGCTGCGGCTTCGCGGTCCCCTACGGCGGCGGGGACACCGCTCCGGGGGTCGCGCGGGGCTGGGGACTTGCTCTGAGTGGTTCCCGCGCCTCAGGTGAATCCTCTCCCGAGGCGGGCCCGAGGAGGAGCGTACCTGTGGGTGGGTCCGTCCGGGGGTCCCCCCACCCGCAGAGTGGGGTCGCCTCCCTGGGGCGTCTCCTGCGGTTCCCCCGAGTGGGGTCGGCCCGCTCCGAGTCCTGGCTGCAGCTTGGGTGACCCGGGGACCTGAGACCCCAAGCCCTTGAAGGTGCGCTCGCCGAGGGGCGCGAGGTTCCCGCTCTTGGAAAAGGTGGAGGGAAGGGAGGCGGTGTTGGTTTTACTGGGTTTGCTCTACACGTTTGAAAAAAGGGGGACTTGTGTCACCAGGTAAAAGCGTTGAATCACCGTCCCCGCAGTCGGTGTTCTGTCCCCCGCGTGCGCGCACACACACATGCACACACACACATGCACACACGCACACACACACGAACACAGCACCCCGGGAGTGTGGACACGTTAGGTTGCGTTTCCTGCGCGGGGTGACAGGCCAGGTCTGACCTCCTCGGATGTCCGCTGCTTTAGCTGAGGCAAGGACCACAGACAGGCAGAGGTCGAATAAGCCGGGCCTCTGTGCAAAAAAGCAAGATTGGCCTCCGATGAACTTTTTGGGTTGCGGAGATTTCATTCCAACTAGGTGCTGGTGTAAGGCTGGGAGCGCAAGGAGAACCACTCATACCCTCACCCCGCGACGTGCTGTTGACCTGCTGGCGTGCTGTGGGACTTAACTGCGCCGGGAGGCTTTGCGGGGAGGATTATTTGCAAGGTTGATGGAGGAATTGATAAGATTCTGCGGGACGGCCCGCTGCGTACTCCCGGTGGAGGATTTAGCCGTGGGAAGTGGTTGCCTGCTTTGAATGTCCGCCATCCTTTGGGGGTCTGGAAGACTTTTAGCGGGAGTGTAGGTAAAGGGAATGGAAGTCAGAGTACATTGTCATTTGTTGTTGTTTTTCTGGGTTAATATGCTTGGCTTGTTGAGATTTGTGGAGTGACAGTATGAGGCTGACTCGCTTGAAGGAATCAGTTGCTTTTGGAGAAAGGTTTTCAGTCTGTCTGCATTTCATTGTACTGCTCCAACAGGGCGACGTTTCAGTGGGAGGACTGGGGGGGGGGCAGGTCCCTTTTGCTATAATTAACTCTTGTGTTTCTAAAGAGTTCAATCTGTGCTTTTAAATTTGACCTAAATTGCTGGCCTGTTGATAATAGTTGCTTTTAAAGAAAAAACAGCAGTGCTTCTATTTTGAATGTCAAAGTAACTGAAGGAGGTTTTGAGATAGTTGGTCATGAAGCTTTCAATATATTATAGCTTTTGACATGTTACGATATCAGGAAATGTTTGGCAAACATTTGACATGATACACATGATCATGTCTCTCTTGGGAGATCTGCATGCTACATGGCAGGCGGATTCTATCTTCATAATATTGACTGAAGATAACTGAAAAGACGGTATGCTTTGCTGTCTCCAACTCCTTTTCGGTAAGGTCATTCTGGCGTAAATGTGAGTTCTACGCCATGATCTGGATTTGGTTTTTGTAAAATCGGAATGTCTTTGAGACTTAGAGGACGTGGTGTCTCTGACAGCTTTCCGCCCACGTAGCCCGGAAACCCAGATACGAGGTGCTGTCCGGCTCACGAGGCTGTGGCATCCCCCCGTAGACCTACCAGGACTGAGGGTTGTCCCATATTAGCTTACGGCTGGGTAGCCGGCTAACCTCCCCCCTCTCAGAGTGGTCGGTTAGTGGATGGTGGCAGTGTGTACATTCATCACGAGGGGACAAGAAGCATTACAGTTGCAAGAAGAAATGACTTGAAAGCATACAAACCCAACTCTGAACAGCCACGTTTGCAGAATGATGAGGAAAGATCATGTCAGAACCTTTGCTTTACCTTAGTTGTGGTAGCTAAAGTGTGTGGAGTCTTTATCCAGTAGGTGCCTTTAGTGTTTATTGTCAGTATATAAAATGACATTTTTCGAAGGCAGTTTTTTCATGCTACTCAGCGAATATTTTAACAGCCATTATTTATTTGCTTTACTTCTGTGCCAGGCAATATTCTAAAAGCCTTATATGATTTAATTTACCTAATCCTCCCAACAACTCAGTGACTTCATTGAGGCATGGGCAGCTTAAGTATATTGTAGAGTTCCAACCCAGAGTCAGGGCCTGTGTAGCCCCTGGAACGTGAAGCTGTTTCACTCAGTGGTAATTTGTACAAACCAATGAGAGGTGTTTGTATTATTTAAGACTTACCAGTTGCACACATCTTGTCTTTTATTAATACCATCACCAGTCTGTGTTGAAGTTTGTCAAGCTGTGTTTAATCTGTTAGATAGAGTCACCTTTTGATTTTGGAAGAAAGAGGATTCTCTTTTGATACACCATGTTTAATTTACTAGGAACCTAGAGATTGTGCTAGAGTATGTTACCTCTTTAATTACTAATGATTAAAGCTTTTGATTTTAAGCTTGTCACTTGAGTTGCAAGTGCTCCAGGGACTGCTGCTGCCCATAGGAAATCTGGTCCTGCCAGAAAGCCGCAGGCCGGATCTTCCTTTTGAATACTACCTTAACCCAAGGTGGAGTTTTAACTTTATTCTGAATTAACTTTCCTTCTAAATTAAGTTCCTTTTAAATGAACTTTAATTGAAAAGATAGACTTGTGGCTTTCACTTTGTGGCTCACATCCCTTAAGGTATTATGTCTTGCTGTTTCGTTGTAGTAGCTGATATGTCAGGAAATTATTTATAATCTAAATTAGGAATTATCTTAAATATTGTTTTAAATTACTATGGATAGTTGATATGCCTTGTTGATGATTTTGTGAAATGTCAATTAGGGAAAAAGTTTGAATTGATAAAGCATAAGCTATATGGAAGAAAATTTCTAACCTGTCTCTTAAACTAAAGTAACACACTTTTTTAGAAAAAGTTTTTATTTATTTGAAAGACAACATTACGGGGTTGGGTTGGGGAAGAGAGATCTTCCATCCCATGGATCACACCCCCTTGAGGGCTACAAGGGCCTGGGTTGGGCCAGGCCAAAGCCAGGACACTGGAATTCTTTGGGTCTCCCATGTGGTTGTCAGGGGCCCAAGTGCTTGCACCATGTTTCATTGCCTCTCTTAGGTGCACTAGCAGGGAGCTGGGTCCAGAAGTGCAGCAGCCAGGTCTCATACTGGATGCACTCATATGGAACACCAATTTTATGAGGTGGCTTAACCGACAGCTCAGTGACACCAGGGCCACATTGTTTTTTTTTTGTTTGTTTTTTAAGCTGCAATTAATATTTAGTGGTGCTTCAGATTTCTTTGAAAGTATTAAATGTCTATATTTTGAATAGGAAAATCTTCGAAGTATCACTTCTAAGGGTGATATGCTTCCTTTTAAACATAGGCCAATTTGAAATTCAGTGGTTATAGGCTGAGATGGCATTGAGATTCAAAATGAATGCATGAATACTTTTCTATGTTAATGCTCCGTCACTTGAACTTAGGAGCCATGCACAGAGTTTATAGGCGAGATTCCTATGAGGCTTTTTCAGTTCTGGCAGAGATTGAATTCTACTGGGCAAAGGCCAGTAGTGTGGTAGGTCCACCTCAGGCGGAGTGAGTTCTGTAGAAGCCTTTTCTTGGCTGTGACTTGGCGGGGGCATCAGTTACCCTTTAGATGAATTTATGATAGTCTTCCTTATCCAAGGTTTGTTTTCTGTGGTTTCAGTGGTTGAGTCAGTGTCTAAAAATATTAAATGGACAGTTCCAGAAACAAATAATTAACAATTTTAAATAACTTCTATTACAATGTATTGTTAGAATTGTTCTGATTAGTTATTGTTTTTCATGTTTTATTGTACCTATCTTATAAATTGAGCTTTATCATAGGCATGTATATATTTATAGGAAAAAAACAGTGTTTTAAATGGCTTGGTATTATTCAAGGTTTCAGTTATCTACTAAGAGTCTTAGAACATACTTCCTGGGCCTAGTGCAGTAGCCTAGTGGCTCAAATCCTTGCCTTGCACATGTTGGGATCCCATCTGCCACTGGTTCATGCTCTGGCTGCTTCACTTCCCTACCAGCTCCCTGCTTGTGGCTTAGGAAAGTACTTGAGGATGGCCCAAAGCCTTGAGACTCTGCACCCATGTGGGAGACCTGGAAGAAGCTCCTGGTTCCTGGCTCCTGGCTTTGGATTGGCTTGGCTCTGGCCATTGCGGCCACTTGGGAGGTGAATCAGTGGATGAAAGATCTTCTTCTCCATCTCTCCTCCTCTCTATATATCCAACTTTAAAATAAAAATAAATGTATCTTAAAAAAACCTGAAAATGCACTTTAAAAAAAGAACATATCTCCTGTGGTTGTGGGGGGCACAGGAAAAACATAATTGTTTTTCTTGTAGTGGTAGCTAATTATAGACACACACACACACACACACACACACACACACACACGGTGGGTTCTCTTTCTTTCTCGTAAAGTTAAACATAATTCACTTGGCTTTCATTCAATAAATAATTAAGTACTAATACTATGCATTGAGCTTTGGGTTTTTTTCAAAAGTTGGGGTACAAAAGAAGTTTGTGGACATTTTGTTTATTATATGTGTGTTTTTAATGTTGTAGTTCTTTGGACAAGTCTTAAGGTAAAGTTAAAAAATAAGATTAATTGTACAGTTGAAAAATACCTGAATGTTGAAGAAGTGTTGTTTTACTTGTCCTGAAGACTTAGATGATAACATAGATAAGGAGAATCAGTCTCTGGTTTGTGTATCGTTGAAAAGCTCTACTTACTTTTTTCAGGCTTTTAGGATATTATTTATACATTTGAAGAGCAGTTTAATGCGAAGTATTCTTCTCGAAGAGTGAATGTGATTTACAGAGTTGTTCAGTATAATCCAGATAGTAGCAGAA